AAAAAAAAAAAAAAAAAAGAGAAAAAAAAACCCCCCCCCCCCCAGAGCAGCCTGTCTCTCTCCCCCCCGACCCCAGCATGCGTTTGCGCCTCTCCGATCGCGTCGGCTTTGCTGAGGGAAATGGGAAAACGCCGTTTAATCCGCCGCAAAGCCGGAGCCGCCGGGGCGCTGCTGGCTCTGTGCGCCCTGCTCTCAGGCTGTGTCGCAGGAGAAGATGAGGTATTGGAGAAAAGGCAACTTTCCGAACTATACAGTAAGTTGAGTCGGCCTGCATGAAACACGGGTACCGTTAACACTACTTAACCCCCCTCCATCCGAACGGGTCTGATTCGGAACCGAAGCGGGATGTTTCATCGCCAGTCCCGTACGGGTCTTTGTAAGCCCCCTTTCTTCCCACCTCTTAGGTTAACATTTCTAGCTGCGGGCGAATGGGGACACAAGTCATTACTTGCTCCTCGGCGCTTTTTCTAACTTAATTCTGGAGCCTTGCCCTCATCCCCCACCCCCCAACCCGCCACGACAAATTCCTCTCTCTTTACACAACTTGTTTTGTGCCACAGTTTGCATTTCTAACTGCATTAACTAAATCCCTTAAAATACATCAACCCCATCCCGGTTTAATTGTCTTCTGTATACTTGAATGAAACGTGGGTAAACAGAGTGTAAACCAACACCATCTGCAAAGTAATACTACGACCATAATAATAATAATGATAATAATAATAATAATGTGTTTTATTATAGCAAAAAGGCTTTAAAGTGACAAATTGAACATTATGGAAGAAGAGAACGCATTCCGAATTATTTTGTCAGGCTGAATAACAGTTTAAATAAAACTCATTTAATTGCATAGTGGAAATTAAAGCGGAAGCGCATCTTCGGCGGGGCAGGAGGTCAGGCATGTGAAAAATCAACCTCGCCAGACATGTCCAGTCCAGTCCTGGCATGGCGATGGTCCCCCACGGCGTTCAGGGGGATCACAAAGAGGAATCGCCTTCGGCCAGCTATTTGGTAAAAGGACTGTTTTATAAACATGTTTAACACCCATATCCGCTGGCGCAAGTGTGCATCGCAGGGATGCCTTCATTAACGAATTTCCCCTTGGGATTAGAAAATTTTATCTGGTTAACTAACTATGCTTTCGTCCGTGCCTCCGGGAATACTGATCCTCAACTGTAGATACTGTATTAAAAAGCAGTGCATTTAATTGTTGAGTCATGGAAAAAAATGACCAAACTATGATTTTTAGGGTTTGTTTGAATAGACAGCGACCATCCAGAGCCAGTGCAGATAAAATGTATGTTTTTCAGTGCGCTGTCAAATTACGCACCCTTCATATAAAAACAAACTCGGCGACAATATCTAAATATAAACAAAATGCAGGTATTTAAAGACTTGCTCATACCATGTGGTCCTCTTCAGGCAGAAGCTAAGATTGTTTGTGAATGTAAATTGGTGTCATTTAATATTGTAATACGGGAGGTGATGTTGCTGGTATCTGAGCATTTAAAGGTGCATCTGGCTGTAAGTTTACTGTCAAGTTGTAAAGCAACTTCTAGCGAAAACATACCTGAATGAGTTCAGGCCTCTCCTTTGCCCGCTTGCCTGCCAAACTATTCACAAGATCTGGGATCTTCCGTCTGTATCGCCCTATGTGTACAAACTGGGTCAGGTGACGTAACGGGGCCATGGAACACGGACTGGAAAACACACGCACACCCCAGCACGTTCCACCGGCCACCTTCCCTGCGCCCGTGAAACTCCCTCCACGCCAACGCTTGTTTTCTTCATCTCTGCCATGTTTCCACGACAGTCATCTGAAAATGCAGGATGAGTTTGGCTTCAAAGGGCAACATGGTGGAGATGGGAATGAGTTGCACTTCTGTGTGGGGAATCCAGGTAGCCATTAGCTTTGAGTTTACTACCAATTAGGCCCTGTATGGTGTCATTGTGCTTTAACTAAAAGATATCGTAATTTTTAGGAGGGGTTTAAATTGCGTATATTATCTTTTGCAAGTTACAGGTCTGAATATATATTTTGTATGGAACTCAAAGTTGAATTAAGTTGGGTTGTTTTGCTGAAGATGTGCCACTTACAGATTAAAGACACTTCTGGATTTTATTTCTTACAATTGCATCTTTGGTTGCTGTTGCGTGGCTGTTATTTGGAGTGGAGAGGGGTGGGGTTGGGTGGGGGTGCTGGTGATCTGTACCAGGCTTTGTGCTGCAGTCGTGTCTGAATTGGGAACAGAATGGGGCCGCTATGTTCACGCTGGTCCTCACATTATCGGGCACGCCGCGCTGCTGGCCAGCATGTGAGCCTCCTTGTGCCGCTCGGTGACCACGCCGCACAAAGAGCTGAATGTTAACTGGCCGCCTGGTGCCCCGGGTCACAGATGACTTATCCCGTCCCGCTGCAGATCAACGGCGCTGTGTCATCCGCTCTACAGTCGCATTCCTCCATCGTCTTTTCCACAATAGATGTATATTTTGTCGGAATGTGTAGGTCTTGATTTTAAATACACTGTTTGCTGTTTATTTTCTTATTTTCAGCATTTCTTTGATTTTTAGAGTGCAGCTTGTATGCATTTTCGGGCAGATAAAACCAGTTCACAAAAACCGGTTCTAAAAAGTCGGGGTTTTTTTTTACAGTTAAGGCCCGTGGTGTGATATTTTTGGTTGACTGTTTGGCAGTAGGAGTGATGTAGTTACTGGAGATCAATCTGAATTCGGAATGTAAATAAGTGGATGTGAAAATATCCAAGTGTGTTCTTTTGACGCTATAGATGTGAAAGGCAAGGTCACGCAGCTCTGCCTAAAAAGACTGACAGGTTTGTCAGCTGACTGCAATTTGGCAGCAGACCAGTCGCTTCTCCTGAAATCTAAAAATATGTTTTGTCTGTCACTGCTAACGGTCCAAATTCAGTGCATATTTCAGATATGTGCTAGCAGGAAATCTCCCACTGCTGGGAACGCAGGTGGGGAGATGTTTTGATCACCGATCCAGTTAGCAGCACTGGATATACAGGCCTTGTTATATTTCATGTCCTTCCTTTAAATAGCCTTCTGTTAAATCCACACCTTTGTAGTTTCTAGTCATATCTACTCCCAATTTGTAACCTTTACTTATCTTTACACTATGTGTGTTCCCTGGGATTTTAACTCATGACCTTTGCTGTGTTGGCGCCATATTCCATTTGTTCAGCTACACTAGTGCTTGGGTGTGCGTTTTTTTTTGCATTGTGATGTCTGATTGTGTTACATGTTACTGACTGAATGGTACAAACTATAACTCCTATTCCTGTGAGGCAAATAAAGAATGTAGAATCTGGAATAATATGAACAACATGGTGGGGGGGGGGGGAGGGTTTGATTCCCCAAACCCCCCACCCCCACATGCGCTTCAGATGAATTATTCCCTCTGAATGGCCCATGGTGTGTGTGATTGTGAATGGGATGGACCCGTGTCCCATTATGGGTTGCCCAATGGGTTAGGATGCTATGTCTCTTTCATTGTCGGGTCCCAGAGCAAGGCCCTAAACCCAAATTGCTGTGGGGCAAGGTTCCCCTATTCTGGTCCAGGAGGGTCAGAATCCAACACAGTTTGCAGATTCCCCTGCTCAAGTACATCTCAAGCATCTAATTACCAGGTCTGGTAGGTGTGTCTGAGCTGGGAAATCTGCAAACTGGTCCTCCAGGACTGGAATTGGGGAATCCTGCTCTAGGAACTGCCTCACCCTGCTTCCTCTTATCCTTTTGGATAAAATGGTCCTGCTGAATTACAAATAAAAATCCGGGGTTTTTCCGGTCTTGTGTTTCCGGTGACAGGCTCAGGGGCTCATTGAGACCTTGTACTGGATCATATTGAGGATGGATGGACTTTTAGAGCTCACTTTGTGAATATATATCCAGTGTTTCCCAATCCGGTCCTTGGGAACCCACAGACAGTCCATGTTTTTGCTCCCTCCCTGCTCCAAAAATGTGGGCTGTCTGGCAGTGAGCTGGGAGGGAGCAAAAACGTGGACTGGCTGTGGGTCCCCAAGGTCCGGATTGGGAGTCACTGATGTAGTTGTTCAGATGCAGATACACTCTTGTTTCGGCTCTGTCGCTTCCTTTCAGACAAAGGCGTCTTCATCCTGGAGAGCGTCCAGCTGAAGCGCTGCATCCGCCTGGACCGCACCAACCTGGTGCTGGAGAGCTGCGAGAGGCCCACCCGAGGCATGCTCTGGAAGTGGGTCTCTCGGCACCGCCTCTTCAACCTGGGCGGCAGCCTGTGCCTGGGCCTCAACACCAGCGACGCACTGCAGCCGCTGGGCACCTTCCAGTGCGACGCGCCCCTCCGCACCCTGTGGTGGCGCTGCAGTGGGGACACTCTTTTTGGAGCCTCCCAGTTCAGGCTGGCCGTCACGGGCCGCCTGGTGGTGGCCAAAAGGACTGCGTACCACCAGTGGAGGAGGTACTTCACCACTGGCGAAGGGCCCTGCGCTAACCCCTATGAAGGCAAGGAACCAGCCAACGTCCTCCCACGGTGGCTTGGAAAATGTGCACCGCTGCTGTAGTTCTGGGAATAAGCTTTTGCTGCCTTTGCCACAGAGATCCACACGTTGTTGGGCAACGCCCAGGGGATGCCCTGTGCCCTGCCATTCAAGTACAACAGCAAGTGGTACCCAGAATGCACCAGTGAGGGCCGTGAGGATCACCACCGCTGGTGTGCCACCACTAGCAGATACGACCAGGATGAGAAGTGGGGGTTCTGCCCAAGTACAGGTACCATGTGTCCCTCTGCCGCCCGTTCATAGATATCCATATTAACAATGTAGGTTGTCCAGCAGGTGGCGCCGCAGCTCAATGGCAAGTATCTCTAGCTGCCAAATTGTGGGCTACAGGTTGAAGGCCAGGTCCGGTCCTTCTGCTTTCCTCTGTGTCGATACCGTCTCAGTTCACTGTTTCTTCCCAGTGGAAATTAGTGACTTTTAAATTGCTCTTAATTACGTACTGGTGTCTCATCTAGGGTGTACCCTGCCTACGCCCTATGGTTCCCGGAATAGACGTGGAATCCCGGAGCATCTTGATTGACGGGCCGGATAGTATGTTACTCTGTATTTTCAGAGTCGGGCTGCGACACGTTCTGGGACCAGAATGCAGAGACACGGGCGTGCTATCAGTTCAACCTGTACAGCATCATGACCTGGGTGCAGGCGCACTCATCCTGCCGGGCGCAGGGTGGGGGGCTCCTCAGCATCACCGATCTCACGGAGCAGAAATACATCAGAGGTATGGACCCCACAACCACCCCCGAGTTGCCCCGGGTACGCAGACGCCCGGCCCTCCAACCTGCGGTCTGGTTTGCAGACAGGCTGAACGACGTGGGTGTGGTGGTGTGGATCGGCCTGAATCACCTAGACGAGAACGCCGGCTGGAACTGGTCCGATGGCGCTCCCTTGGCATTGGTCAACTTCACGGAAGGTAACCCCTTCTTCTTGAAGACCTTTTTGTTGGCCCCCGGGACCGGCAGTAAATCAGACACCCTTGGGCGATTCTAGGATGTGATCCTTAGTGGGCTTTAGCCGCCAGTGAGATATATAAAATCATTGTTATCGGCTTCGTCCCATTCACCTCACGTGCGTGTAAGTGCTCTGTGACACTACACACTTGGGTGTCGCACGTTGCAGTAAGATGTAAAGTGCGCAAGTGTATGTGAAGAGCTCAAGTGGCCAGGCGTTTCTTGAAAACAATGGGACACACATGATATCTGAAGAGGTGAACAAGAAACAAGGTACAGTATGTAAAACACTCGTTATACAGCTTTGCACAATTAAAGTGAAACTTTAGTGAAACTTCTTAGGAGGCGTGTTGCGCTCTGATACGCCGACAGACTTCCTCGTGTTTGACATAAACATTAGTAGTCATAGATGTAGTCTATTGTGGTCTGTATACTTAACCAAAGACTGCTTTCATGCAGTGTGGATGAAGTACACATTAAGCGCGTTGTTTAGTGTTACGTAAAACAAGTAGTAGTAAATGAATTGAAATAATAAATTGAAACTCAGATTATAATTGAGCTGTTCTGAGTTAAAAAGTTTATTGACAAGCAGTCAATGGGAACCCCTGCTGTCTAATGAAGAGTCTCTTTGCCCTCTCTGCACAAGACCTCTAAGCTTTTTTCCTCTCTTATTTGGGTGTGTGATAACATTTATTATGATTCTCACGTCATCTTTCTGTGGTGGAAAAAATGACTGCCGCTAGCGGGCCGCCTGTTCCATGACTCAGCACCCCCACTGTTTCACCTCACCTGTGTCGCCGCCCTGCAGGCATCACAGCGCCGTCTCGCCACGAGAGACAGTGTGGGGTTTACAACTCCACCTCTGGCCACCCATGGCAGAGCCTGTCCTGTGAGTCGGCGCTGCCCTACATCTGTAAGAAGACACCCAATGACAGCAGGAGGGCGGAACCCTTCGGTAAGCCTCGGGGAAACCCCTTTCCTCCTCCCGCACCCGGTCGCATCCCATCAGGAGGGAGGGTTCTTCTGGGGGGTGTTTGTGTTCAGTGATCTCACATCGTTATCTTTGTTATGGCAACCCCAGTCATACTTTGCTTTATGACTTTCTTAGCTAACAACAGGAAGACTTGCTCTTTAAGGGCACTGCTAGATTTCTTGTCTGCTTCTGTATCTTTTAACGAGATACCTCTGAATCAGATAGATGTTGTTCTCCGTTGATCTTAATAAAAATGCCAGTAACAGAGGTGAGAAATGTATGATACATGGCTAAGAATACATTGGAACAACTTGAGCAAATAGGCTAAATGGTGATGTGACCCCACAGGCCCCAACCCATCCGGTTATGTCCCACCCACCAGGTAACTGGCAGCACTATGGCACAGTGTGTCCCGAAGGCTGGACTCCCCAGAACCGCTTCTGCTACAAGGTCCTGGAGGAACCGCAGAGCTGGCCGGATGCTTCCGCCTCGTGTCGGTCACTGGGAGCCAATCTGACCAGCGTGCACTCCCTGGCGGACGTCGAGCTCCTGCTGGGACTCCTCACTAACCGTGAGCTCGGCCGCTCGCGGGGGTTTGGGGACCGACAGCTGCGAGGGGGAACATGGGCAGGAGGAACTGGTTTGAAGGGAAATCATAACCTTTTCTGTTTCCCATATAATTCACACCATCCTTCATCCCCTACTTCAACTGGGAGGATGATAAAAATAGCTCGTGTCTGATGCTCACCTTACGTCCGTTGCTTGTCACGCAAACTTCCAGAATCATCCCTGGAGGCTTGGATCGGCCTGAGGAGCGAGACCTCGGTGGTCTTCGAGTGGTCCGACGGCACGCCCACGTCCGTCACGTTCTGGCACAGGCACGAGCCTGACCTCCGGCAAGGCCGCGGGCCGCTCTGCGCCAAGACGCACCGGGAGGTACGTGGGACCCGTCCGCTCTCCTGTGACGTCTGGGCTCTCCGGAGGGGCGTTTGCATTCGGCTCGTAAGCCATTGCTGAAGTTTAGTATTTTTTTTATTTGATTTTACTTCTAAGCACGGAAACTGGCTGCTGGCTCCCTGTGGGGCGAAGCTGCCGTCGGTGTGCCGGAAGCTGGGTCTCATCCCCATCAGGGAAGCCGGGGCGGCAGACAAAGGATGTGCCCAGGTGGGTCCTACTGATAACCCGAGACCTTTTGGCACAGCTCTATACTCCTACTGCCCTCGAGCAGTGAGGCTGTTCAGTAGCTGCTCAGGCTGGTGTTACAGACTTTTTACACATTTTTATCTTACTGTTTATTTTTCCTTTACTTTTTACTTATTTTACTTTATTCTGGGAGACTCGTTTCATTACACGTATCTCCTTCTGTATTCCATACTTTTGTGCATTTGATAAATGGAGTTTGATTTGATTAGTTTTTGGTTTGACAACGACCTTATTTAGTCACAAGGGAACTTGGTTAAAGTCATGGCTTCCTGACAGAGGATTTGGCCAATACTGTGCCTGCATTTTTCCTCAAATTATCAGTCCAAATCAGTGTTTGTTTGCAAGTCAGCTGTGGAACTTCAGGCTTCGACCTGTTTTGTAGGTTGGATGACCGCACGCTTGTGGCATCTGCATGATGAGTTAGTAAATGTACGGCAGGTTGAATGAACGAAGCCCGGAAAACCCTGAGCCGATCCTCGCCAGCAGATGTGTCCGTCAAAACTCTTGAGCTGGGCGGTGATGGTGGTTTAAATATCTCACTGACATATCATCTGTATTCTCTGTAGAGCCCAGTTCTTAAACCGCTCAAAAAGCTCACGGGAGATTAATAGTCACGTGGAGCGAATCCAGGAGACCCTGAAGTAGGTGGGAAGGCCAGGAGTTGAGATACATATTTAGCCAGCAGTGCAAGTTTTATGATTATTGTTGTTGTTATTATTTATTTATTTATTTTTTGACAGTTTCACGTGTATTGGCAGAAACGCCACGTTCACCTCATAAGAACCTACACATGAAATCGTTTAAAGTCACTTAAAACTCTTGTTGATACTTTTTCACACCTAGGATTTTTCTGGAGCTGGCGGCAGGACGGCGCTGGAAAGATTCAGATCAACAGCCGATAAATGGAAAGAGGCTGTTTTTGTGTTGAAACTCCCATAATCCTCTCACTATTTAAACCGGAAACCTAACACCAAAAACTTAAACTTTAAAACTTTTGACCTGACCTTACCTGTTTAGTCACGAGACCAGTGAATCAAATATTTACTGTATAAATAGATAATATACTATATGGACAAATGTATTGGGACACCTGGGGTTGAGGTCAGGGCTCTGTGCAAACCTGTCAAGTTCCTGCACAACAAATTCACCCAACCATGTCTTTGTGGACTTTACTTTGTCATCCTGGAACAGAAAAGCCTTCCGCAGACTGTTCCCACAAAGCCGGAGGCATAGAATTGTCCAAAATGTCTTGCTGAAGCATTAAGAGTTCCATTCACTGTAACTAAGGCGTCTAAACCAACCCCTGAAAAACAACCCCATACCATTATCCCTCCTCCACCAAACTTTACAGTTGGCACAATGCAGTCAGGCAGGTAACGTTCTCCTGTCATCCGCCAAACCCAGACTCGTCTATCAGACTGTCAGACAGAGAAGTGTGATTCATCACTCCACAGAACACGTTTCCACTGCTCCAGTGTCCAGTGGCACCGTGCTTTACACCACTCCATCTGACGCTTGGCACTGCGCTTTATGATGTGAGGCTTGCATGCAGCTGCTCAGCCATGGAAGCCCATTCCATGAAGCTCCCCGCACAGTCTTCTGCTGGGGTTAATGCCAGAGGAAGTGGGTCTCTGCAGTTATTGAGTCAACAGAGCGTTGCCCACCTTTACACACTATGTGCTTCAGTATTCAGTAACTCCATTCTGTTACTTTATGTGTTCTGTCACTTCCTGGCTGAGTCTCTGTTGTTCCTAAATGCCTGTGGCAATGGGTCTGAATGAAACACCTGAAATCACCGATTAAGAGGTGTGTCCCAGTACTTTTGTCCATATAGTGTATATAGATATGAATGCAGTTTTATGTTCTGTTATGTCTTCAGCAGTGTCCTATCTATGTTTCGATATCTACGTTTTGAATGTTCTAAGGAAGCTACGCTGGGCGATTTATATACGATACGTGATATGAGCATTAGCTTTAGAATGCAGGTACACTGTCTGTTTGCTGTCACTCCAGAGCTTGTTCCTACTCGTCCGTTGCAGCATCGGAGGCCGTCCTGCTCTGCCATAGCTTACAGGTCTGGTTCCAATAAACAAGGGCTCTCCACCGCTGGCTTCTCATCATGGGGGTCATGGGAGCACACCGGAAAATTCCGATCCGAGCAGCCCACCGGCCCGACTTTATCCGTCCTCCCCTTGTGTGCCGTTAGCTCATTCCGGATTCCTTTGTCCTTCAAGGGCTGGAAACGGAGACGTCACTTCTGCTACAAGGTGAGCCGTCACCAGCAGAGCTACGAGGACGCCATGAAGGGGTATTACTGTGGCGCCGCCCTGGTGACGGTGATGAATAGGTACGCTCGCCTTGCCCGAAGTTTTAGTAACGTTAGCGTGGAGCAACCGGTGGCTTGGCGGGTGGCTGCTTGCCCCCAGGGTGCCTTTTTTAATTCCAGCCCCCACCCTGTGTGTGGAATTGGTGTGTTCTTCCCGTGTTGTTGTCTCCTTCGACTTTCCTCCCTTAGTCCATAAATATGCAGTTGGGTCCTGAGTATGCGTGTGTCTCCTGCGATAATCAGGCATCACGTCCAGGGTGTTCATTGCCCCCTGCTGGGTGCCCTAGGTCACTGTGACTCCACGTCAGATAACTGAGTTAGGAAAACGGATGGATTTGAGTGGAATTATGAGAACGCCTTATTATCCACCCCCTCAGACCATTCTCTCCCTCCCCCCCGCAGGTTTGAACAAGCCTTCCTGAACAGCCTAATAAACACCCTGAGCATGAACTCCTCTCAGTACTACTGGACCGCCCTACAGGACCGCAACAGAAGCGGCGAATACAGCTGGCTGGCACAGAATGGGTGGGGCAAGCCGCTGCTCTACACGAACTGGAACAGACACCAGCCAGGTGCGTAACTTGAGGAAATCCCCCCCCCCCCCATGACAGCTGTCTCTGGTCAATGCTTGTATGTTTAACAAGCGTCAGACAAAAGTCCTTGTTTGAAACCTTAACACCAGTCTGCGGTATTACCCTTAAAAGACGGGTAATAGAGAAACAGCCTCCCCCACAGAAGGTCGTCTTGCGTTCAGATTCCTCACGCAGCTATCAGAGGGCGACATTGCCGGAAGCTTCCTGACTCACTAAGGGAGCATCATTTGCATGTAATTAATGGCTTTTTCAGCACTAGGAAGAGGGGCTGAAATAGCTGTAATTATTGCCCCCTGTGTGACTGCTGCATATTCCGGCTGGTCCCTGTTCGCATGAGAAACACCAGAGACACAATTTTTTACCTTTTTTTTTTTGCGGGGTTTCTGGTAAACATCAAACGCAGTTATGTAGCCCGAATCTCATTTTTTCCCTAACTCGACACTCGAGGCATTTGATGTTATGGAATTTTTGAGATTTGTTTTCTATATATAACTACAGTTCGATCCCTGAGACCCCCCAACGCTGTATGTCACATGATTTCATAAAGAAATGGAACATTAATGGAATTCCTTTGGGATAAACCATTTGGTGGTATAAGAAATAAGATACAGGATTATTCTCTGCAAGGTCTGATGGGTAAATTATCAAATGACAGCAGATATCGGTGTGTTTTTTAATAGATGCCAGAGGTTTACATGTTTTTCAAAGGCTGCTCAGTGCCTAAGCCTCACGCTTTGTCCTCTGCTATTCAAAGACTCCTTTGTTCCTGTTCGGCTGTCATTTATACAGGAATGTAACTGTACCTTGCTTTACACCTCCGTTTGTAGCTCCAAGCGGACAGATCGGCCACTAAAATCACGATGGCATTTTTGGCACCGGCTGGGGCGACGTGGAGGTCGTGCGTTCTTCCTTCCTTACTGTTTTTTCCTTCTTAATCCTCTCCTCTCACATAGTCCAGCTCACAGTGAACCCCCCCCCACCCCCAAGCTGGCCCCCCCGTCCTCCTCAAGACCGATTACCTGCACTCGGCCCGGAATCGCCCACTTCCTGTTCATGTCTCAGCTCTTGCCGTGTTTGCAGCTTAAGGACAGACGATAGCTTGGAAGTCACACAAGTGCACGCTTGTGTATTTAGGGTCACCTTCATTGAAATCCCACAATGGATAGCCGTCCCGTCTGATTGGTCTCCTGCCTTGCCCCAGTGCTTTATGGGATAGGTTCTAGGACACCCTGAATGGGATAATCATTAAAATAGGTGAACAGGAAAAAGATGAAGTCCTCACCATGGGTCCGTGATGCATGTTCTTCCCATGCTGTTGTGGGGTTTCTTCCTAGTATTCCGGGTTCCCCCCCAGTCCGAAAACATGCTAACATGAATTTGACTTTGACCAAATTGTCAGTAGGGGTGACTGCGCAAATGGTGCGTGTGCCCTGCGATGGGTTGATGCCCCATCCTGGGTTATTCCCTGCCATGTGCCCATAGTTTCTGGGATAGGCTTCCAGACCCCTGTGATCCTGCATAGGTCTAATGGGTATAGAAAATGGATCAGCAGTTGTGAATGAGTAATGGCAATTATTGTGCATTTAATAGCAATAATATTCCCCATTTATACCCTGTCCAGGGTGTCCCCAGTCTCACGCCATTTGCATCCTGGGATAGACTCCAGGGTCAGTGTAACTGGACTTGCAGAGATGGAGGATGGGTGGATGAACTCGTATTGATAGTGTTTTATCGTGCACGGTGTGGATTTTCTCTTCCTTGCTTTAATGGCCAGCATCTGCTCTGTCTCCCGCAGTCAGCGCCGGCGGCTGTGTGGCGCTCACAGGCGGTCAGGCTCTCGGCCGCTGGGAGGTCAAGGACTGCAAATCCCACAAGGCCCTGTCGATATGCAAGCAGAGGATTGGCAGTCGCCAGGAGACCCAGGAGTCCACGGTGCACATCAACGGTTCTGCCCCTTGCCCAACCGGCTGGCACAGCAAACCCGGACTGCTTCACTGTTACAAGGTCAGGCGATCCTTAAAATGGTTGGCTGGTAGATGGCAATCAGACCATGTAGCTGGCACACTTCCTGATGACGGCGATAGCTAGCTGTACTCCCATATTTTGTTTTTTGGAGAATTGCCATTAAGGCCATATCTGTTCCAGCGTGTCATTATTTGCTAGCAGGATTAGGCGCTAGTTTCGAAGCCGTCGCCACTGTGGCCTTGATTAGCTTCGCTGTCTCTGCACTGTTTGATATCTTCATGCTTTGAGTTGCTCCTGTAGTGCTGCTGTTGAGTGACGCTTTCATAGCCTGATGCTAACGTAGCATTGTGTATTTTCTTTAGCACTCTTGGGTACGTTATGGGTGAAAGGAAAGTAGCTAGGAATGCGGATCGTGTTCCTGAAGCGCTGGTGAAGGTGGGAAGGCAGCAGTGCCCTGCAGGTTAACACCTAGCTGAATACCTAGCTGGCTGGCAGGTAGTTTAGGCAAGTTCTCTGAGCTTTGTGCTCCGATTAGCTATCCCGTAGCATCGAACGGGGTCTATGTGCCATTTTGTAATGGCGTCGGGGGGCAGCCCAGGCTGGCGGCCATATTAACGGGAACCTGAGGATGGATCTCGTTCAGGTGTTTCATAGTGAGAAGATCCTGATGAAGCGCTCCTGGACCGAGGCAGACTTCTTCTGCCAGGCTCTGGGGGCAAACCTGGCCAGCTTCCGGCATTACAACGAAGAAGCCTTTGTCAAGGAGACACTGGGGACGATGTTCACTGGGTCAGTCATTCCCATTTCCAGTTATTATTGATGCAACTTTGACGTGTGTGTGTGTGTGTGTGTGTGTGTGTGCACATACCCCCCCCCCGTGGAAACATGGCGTCCCACCCTGGGCTTGCCCTGCCTTGTTGCTTTTACTTTTTGGGATGCTCTCCAGGATTGCCGCAAGCTAGCATTGGATGAGTGGTTATGTCCTTTTGGTATAAAATTACTGTCTTAATTACTTATATAATTCACTGTAGTGACTTAAAAGTTATTTTTTACGGTTTCGTAATTAGATCTCAGAAAGATGTATTGAGATTAATTAAGCATGCTGCTTAATCTGTGACTTCATTAATTAGATTGTGTCTACAAGAGTTTCTGTAGCTCAACAAGAAGAGCACTGTGCTAACGACACGATGGTTATGGGTTTGAATCCCAGGGAGTGCACAGAACTTATAACCCTTCCCTCTCTCATTGACTCATTTTGGATAAAAGCATCAAATAAATGTGAAATGATTAGATGTAGTGGACACTGGTAACAGGACCTACTGTGCTGGTTCTCTGCAGGATGCAAGGGCGTTCGTTCTGGGTGGGATTCAACAAGAGGAGCCCCTGGACCTTTGGGAGCTGGGAGTGGTCCGATGGGACGCCTGTGGGTACCCCTCTCTACAACCCAATTAAAGCTTATTATAAATGATCTTATAATGCCTTATACTTTAAGCGCTGTGATTCTGAGCATTCGACGTGATGCTTTGAAAGCACTTAACAGAAAACAGAATCTAAAGTTGAAGCCAAATCTCGTCACGGTTTGCTAAAAATAATTAGTTTAATAAATTAACTGCAGGTTTTGTGTGCTGTGTGTTCAGTATAGATGCATCAATGTCATAATAAAAAATAACTCTAGAAAATGGGGGGAAAAAGCTCTCTAAGAAGGGCTTGGTAAGGGATGTGGCCATAGCCAGAAATGCCGGGGTGAGGCTAATCTGCTTCACTGCTCTTCAGGTGGTGACCTCCTTCATAGAGGACAAAAACAGTGAGGATGATGAGCACAACTGTGCCGTCTTCACCGATTCGGACAGCCTGCTGGTCCCTCAGCCGTGTGACAGCAAACATGAGTGGATCTGTAAGGTCCCCAGAGGTAAAAACGTTGGCTGGTGGCGTTGATCTGCGTGTGTGGCGGGTGGGTAGGGGGGGCCTTTCTCTCCATGCCGTGTGCAATCTTTTAGCATGACTGTTCTCAACCGTTGCATGGATTGATGTACCGTATCATGGTGTCATTATAGGGTTGGGGGTTTGGCCTAGCGATCAGAAGGTTGCTGGTTCAAATCCCAGAGTCTGCAGATTGATTTCAAACGTAAATTACAAGTCTAGTGCCTTTCCTCATGGCTCGCGGTGACCATAATGGTGGGGGCACTGAATGTGTCGTGTGCCGTCTTTCTCTAGGTGCGGAGCTGACCAAACCATATTGGTACACCGAGCGTAAGTCCCTTGCTTTGTGCTCCTCTGTTTGTTCGTTTCATTTATCGTTTACACCCGGGCATCCGAGGACCCCCGTGTTCACCTCCCTCTCCCTGCAGAGCATCAGGCCTGGGTATTCTTCAGAGGTGCCGAGTATTATTTTGACCAGCAGCCGTTCCCGTGGAACGCCGTCTCCTTCGCCTGCAATCTGATGGGCGCCAACCTGGCCTCCATACACTCCTTGGAGGAGTTGAACTTCATCAAGGAGCGGATGGAGGTGTGAGACTGGAGTGCTGAGGGTGTGCTGTTAAATCAGACCTTCTGACTTCATTTTGTTTTTGTGTGTGTGTGTGTGTGTGTGTGCGTGCGTGTGCGTGTGCGTGCACATATCACATTTGGGGACCAAAATGACCCCAAAGTATAGTTAAACCTGAAACGTTCCTACTTTTGGGGAACATTTTTCAGGTCCCCATTTGGATGATCTCAGTTTAATAAAAATCTAAGAATGCAATCAAAAAAGGAAAAATGCCAAAAGGTTGTATTTTGTTTGGTAACTTTTAGTTAGGATTAGGGGTGGTTAGAGGTTAAGGGTGTCATGATTGGGTTTAGGGTCTTTCCATTATATATGAGTGGAAGGTCCTCATTTTGATGGGTTTACCAACTTGTGTGTGTGTGTGTGTGTGTGTGTGTGTGCAGGACTACAAACATAAACTGGTAGCTTCACTGTGAACGTGTGTTTGCTCACAATGACAATCACTGTCATTCCAAGCATGATATATACTGACAGATTCCATCTTTTTTTGCATTAAAATTACTTGAATTTTCTCAAAATTCTAAAATTACTTGAAATCTCCTCAGATGGACAAGGATCCCTCCCAGTGGTGGATTGGACTGTCATCAGACACCATTAACGAAGAGTACAGGTATATTCTTACATCACACTTCCTGATATACAGCTGCTCCTTGACTTCCGATGGGGAAACGTTCTGAACCAATCGTACGTGGAAAAGATCATATGTCGAATGATATGATGAACAAATAAGTAAATAAAAACTACTGTTACTCAATAAGTAAATAATTACTCTACCTAACTAAATACCAGTAATTGAAAAGAAAATAAATGAAGTATATTAAGTTAAACAGAAAACAAACACCATACAGTACTATTCATTGTTAAACACTGTATGAGATATTTACGCTCTACAGAGAATGGCTGTATGGATGCTACTAATGACCAGCATCAGTAGAAAGTATCATAGAGCTATCCTGGGAACGGACCAAAATTCAAAGATGACTACGGAATATACATCATAGCATCGTGAAGTCAAAATATCCTAAGATGGACTGCTGTAAAGTGAAGAGCATGTGTACTACCACCATCTCATAGTGTAATAATTTAAGAATGATACATAATCCGCCGTCCAACAGCATTACATAATTTAGAGTGAAATACCAAATATGTCTTTAGAAAATATACTGAAATAGAATCATCAGAAAAAAATCTCTTTATGTTAAATCTTGAAGTTGTAAATCTAACGGGAATTATCCTGTGTTTGCCTCGCAGCTGGAGCGATGGCGCCCAACTGCAGTTCCAGAACTGGCCACAAGCAGAGCCGCAGAAACCTTCACCACAGAGTGACGTCTGCGTCTCCATGTCCTCACAAACAGGTGAAAATAAGCAGATTTTAAAAATGTATATTTCACTGGGTTTATGCAACCACAGCAAAATCTTGAAGCATACGGTATTTAAACAAACACGAGTCTTTACAAATTACTGCACATTTAGGAAAAAACGGAAAGTTTTTAATAATAAGTCAACGAACTGCACAGCCCTTAACTGCATAGTATAATGTGCGCTGGGGCTTTACAGGAAAGTGGTCAGGTGACCAGTGTGGCGATCGCCACGGCTACGTGTGCAAGCGCAGGATTCTGTCGGTGCTGGAGATCCCCCGCCAGCCGCACTACATCGGGGGTTGCCCGGAGAAGTGGCTGTACTTTGGGCACAAGGTACAGTAATCATTCCACTATAGGTTCATTTTTTGGGATCCGCTAAAAGAGCACAGACCGTAAACCGTGATCATTGAATGTTATTGTTTGTATTTAGCGCCCTCTGGAGCAGTGTCAGAGAACTGCTTCCTGTTTATACATGTGGCTCAATTTCAAAATGCTAATTTGTCTCATTAAAAAATGTCTCTTGTTTAACTGTGATGAATATATTAGTAATTTGCATAAGAATTTGCTTTGTGTTACTAATTTCTGGAACTATTAAGTTGTTCACAAGTTGTGATTACTGTGATTAAGTAATGTATTTCCACAACTTAATGCTATTTCACTGGAGGAATTTGGGTTAAATTAAGCCCCCTCCCTCAAAGCCTTTACATTAGTTTTGTTTTGCTTTCTTTGTCATCTCTCCAGTGCCTCTTTCTGCATCTGCCAAAGCACCCAGAGGAGGGTAAGACGTGGCAGGAGTCCCAGACGATTTGTTCCTCGTCCCAGGGCTCGCTGGTCACCATAGAAGATGAGATTGAGCAAGGTACGGTCAGGCACCTCCAGCTATAGCTGCTGCTTGCCCAGGGGCCGCAGATTCCCCCGGGGAATCGTGACAGAATTGCGACGTTCTTGCAGTATAAAGCACCGCATTTAGTACGATTGCGGCTGCTGTATTCTATGTGGAATCTGCACTATATCGCATCCTTTTCACATCAATGACATTATATTATTTCAGTACAAAGGAACATTATACCCTGTGGCAGTCTGAATTTGTCATAATACTATAGTACTGGCATATTGTCCCTGTCCAAGGAAAACTGCAGATGTCCTCTTTTTGATCATTGTGACTTTTTATTGAATATGCTTGTTCTGCTCTGTCTACTGACAGTTTGACATCTAATTGACCAATGAAAATACGTTTTATGAATTCATCTAACTAGTATTTAACTTGGTACTAGTTAACGTTAGTATTCACGATGTTTCTTTGTATGGATTACTGCATATCACTAACTTTAACAGCTTAACATTAATAGCTAGATAGCTCTGTATCTTGTTGACACTGACATATTTGCCTCCAAAGACATAAGTGCTTTTAAAACATTAAACTGTTTACTAACAGCTATGTAAAGATGGGTTTCTATTTGTGGTGTCTCGTGTTTTAGGCTTATTTTGTGAATTAGTTTCTGAGAAAATGTGTTTTTTTTCCCCCACACTCCTGAAATAATGGACTTTTTTTTCATTTGACAGCAACCATACATGTGAAACTTAAAACTGCCTCTAGTCCCCATTATTACTTATAAAAATACATACAACAATAATAGCTACATTACAGTAAATTTCTAAAGCACACCCTTGATGCATTATGGAAAGTCAGACTTAATATCTTTAAGAAAGCACGTCAAAATGTTTGTGTCAGACTTTTACACTTGCTCTCATGCAGGGGGAGTTGTTGCTCTCAATTAAAAGTGATTTGTTAATTTCTATATTTTTTTAAATTACAGCTTACATTACAATGCTGCTACCTGGTAGCACGGCCGATGTTTGGATTGGACTGCAAGATGACGACCACTGGGTCAACGGGAAATCTCTCACTTACACCAACTGGTCTCCTGTTGACCAGGAGAGTGCTATCTCTGTATGTACAGTCAGCCTCAATGAAACCTTAATGTGTGTCCACCCTTCCATCATTGTAGGGGAAGTTTTCATAAGGTATAAGGCATGGGTACACCCTGCTCCAGATACCATCAGCTGGTACACAAGCACACGCTTTGGGCAGTATAGAGACATGAGTTTGCCTAACCAGAGGTGGAAATTTCAGGTCCAGAAAGTAAAAATTCAGACCAAGATTTTGTTTCAACCACCTAGTTTTGTATAGTCAGTCACAAAGTATTAAGCTCTGTTGGTTGAAACAAAATCTTGGTCTGAATTTTTACTTTCTGGACCTGAAATTTCCACCTCTTTGCCTAACCACAGGGCTATTGGAGGAAACCAGATTACCCAAAGGTAAGGGGAACATGCAAACTGTACATGTGGGGAGCGGAGTTGGGATTCGAACCCCATACCCTATAGGTGTGAGGAAACAGTGCAGCCTACTGCCCATCTAGTATTATTCACATTAATCTCATCATTTTGTAATATGTCGTATTTGTTTATTTGAACTCCTCGTAAATATTCGTAGACAGTTTAATTTCCTGCTACGCTGCGATTTTTGGACGTTAATAACCACAGTTCTCTGTTGCCCCTGGTAACAGGACTATTATGGGCCAGGTGATGGCAAAGAGCCACTCTGCACGCTGCTGTCCAACAACCACAACTTCCACTTCACCGGCAAGTGGTACAGCGAGAAATGCTCGGCAACCGGCTACGGGTTCGTGTGCCAGAAGCCGCAAGGTGGGCCGTCCGTTCGTGTCCGAGCTGCCCCCTTTCCCGAGGCCCACCGGGAGGCGCTCCATAACTGTGACTGATTAATCAGAATCCACCCAACTCCTGTCAGCTCTAACTTCATCATCCTGGCCCCGGCCGGCTGCAGCAGCTGTAATTACTGTATATTTTAAGAGGTGGCTCTCTTATTATGGGGTATAGTTTGCTGAGTTAGGCTGAAACACATTGTCGTTCTTGTCTTTATTGACCTAAAGCCCTTGTAGGCACCCTGAACTGAGGTTTAAGGGTTTATACTGTGATTTTATTTTGGTTTTTGCCCCATATTTACTCTCTCTTTCCCCCCCCCCTTTTTGAGACAGACCCAACTAAACCCCCATCCCAGTCCTATTTCCACCCTTTCCCCGACCCTATCGAGTATGAGAACCGCAGCTACAGGGTCGTCCGGGGCAACCTGAGCTGGTACGAGGCTCTGAATAGATGCTTGGAGAGAGAAACCCAGTTAGCTAGCATCACAGACCCCCACCACCAGGCTTTCCTTACTGTCCTCGTGAATAAATTGGCACTGCCCCACTGGATCGGACTCTACAGCCAAGACGTACGTATCCCCAGTCCCTCGTCACGGTTCAGCCTTGAGTGAGTTCTCTCCTTCCGCTGTTAACGGCACGTCAAGCCTCTGCTTTATGACCTCCCTCGCCGTCTCTCTCTCCACACGGCCCCCGAATGCGCTCAGCACTGACAGCTGCGGTGTGCAGTGCGACGTGTCGAGCGCTCACTGGAAAAATTCCCTCACATCTCAGCTGATGCGTATCTTTGCTTGCATGAGGGGAAATACTTACTGCTTTGGCGGCGTGTTTGTTTGATGCCAGCTTGTCTTTTCTGTCTGCCTCTCTTTCTTTCTCCTTTCTCTCTCTCTTTTTATGATCAAATGCATGGGCGTGTCGTTTTCAGCCCCAGGGTTGTTAATCAGGAAGAGAAAAGAGATTGTTATTCTTCTTCAGTCAGTGTGTTTGATGACCCTGTTTTATGACAGCTTTTCAAAATGGTCGCCATAGTTACACCTTTATTGTGTCATGCGGCAATGAGAATGCAAAGGGGATACAGCCAGCCCTACATGATGATAAATGTGCTTCAGGAAATGATGACCGTGAAAGGAATATTTTGCCTGTAGTGTAACGTCTGGAGCTGTTACAGCGGATTGCTTCTACACACACACACACACACACACACACACACACACACACACACACACACACACGCACGCACAGGTTTGTCATTATATCTTTGTGGGGATGCTCCATTCATCTCTATGGGCAAAACCTTAATCCCAACAATGACAATTTGAACTCCTACCCAGTCCTAACCTTAACCATAAGTAACCAAACAAAATACAAGACTTCTGGCATTTTTCATTTTTTGATTGCAGTCACAGATTTTTATGAAATTTAGTTCCCTCTTGAGGGGACTGAAAAAATGGTCCCCCAATGTCCAAGTAACACACAGACTCACATCCCATGGTACAGGCACGACTGACCCCCAGCATGTGTGTAGCTGCAGTTCCGCCGCGTTTTGGGAAAATTGATGGATCCACCCCAGTATGAGTGTGACAGGCAATTACTAACATTCCCCGCAGCGCGAGGTGGGCCGTGTCCTGCTGCGTCCTTGCTTTTTTGTCATTGTTTGTGAGGACGTGTGTGCAGGGGGCACCGCAGAGACTGAGTTGTCTTTCTGCCCCCCCATCCCCCCCATAACAGGACGGCATCAGCTACCGCTGGTCCGATGACAGCGACACAGCCTTCATGCACTGGGACTCGGGGGACGATGAGGACGAGGACACGCTGGGTGACTGCGTTTACATGGACATCACCGGTGCCTGGAAGAGGGCCGACTGCGAGGAGACGCTGCAGGGGGCCTTGTGCCAGGCACCCCCCCCCAGTGAGTGCCACACACCTCGTCGTCGACACTCCCCTCGCGTTCTCTGATGTTATTATTGATGAAACACTTCAAAGAATCCTAATAATCCAGCGGTGGCATAATTATGGGTTTGGAATTCTCGGTGGGCGGGACTTACCATGGACAATTAACCAATCGGCCGATTAAAATAACTATAGCCACACCCATTGTGATTTTCAGCACGTGTTTCTTTTCACTGCTTAATGGTCTATAAGGCTTTTATAGTCAATTATTTTGAGAGCTGAAACCAAAGCAAAAGAACGATTCGTAAGCCTGGCATTAGATTAATTATATCTGTTGTCCACTGGCATTTATACTAATGCAATCTTAGGTATAGCTGAACTCTGGAGCATTGCAGGGAGGGAGATGTTGACATCGATATACATGACGTTACTGTAAATGTAAATTGTTATGTTTAGAGGCTGTAAAAAATGACTGGTTCTTTCTGCCCTCAAGAAAGCAACGTGGTGTCATATGAGGTGACCTGCCCCGACAGGTGGATTAAATTTAAGAACAGCTGTTACAGCTTTGAGCCCATAATGCAGAGACAGAGTCTGGAGGAGGCTAGAGAGCGCTGCAGGCATACAGGTAGGGGAAGACCGTGAGCCTGCGAGGGCTCGCCAGGCCCCAGAGCATGCTGGGAGCCTCGCAGAAACTGAGCTGTGTGCTGTGAGAGCTCCCCCTACAGGGAGGTGTTACAATTGCATGCATACTGAAAATGTGCAGGAATTAAATTCAATTACTAAATTTAAACTTATGTTAATTAATTATTAAACTTAATTAATCTGAGATTTTGTGTGCGTGATGATTAATCTTATATGTCATTTAATTTTTAATTAAACTATTAACCATTAGTTGGACAGAACCTTTAATATGTTCCTTACACTTGATAAGGCATCTAGTGGCAACATTAAAGTGTTCACTGATAGCAAGTGTTACTCATGAGCATTTTTTTCTCAGTGTCTGATAATGAATATTAGGAGATTTGCTTCCGTTTCCTCCCAGCAAAGTCCTCGGACCTACTGACGGTTAAGAGTGAGGAGGAGAATCGGTTTGTCCTGGAGAAGCTGAAATCCTATGCCCTGCCGCACCAAACGGTCTGGCTGGCAATACTCTACGACGCCAACGGCAAGTGCTCCCGCCCACGATTGACGACTTACTGCACACCTTGGTCCCACATCCTTTGTTTACTGGGGGTCAAATGCCCCAAAAACATTCTTTCATGTGTTACATCATAACCTTCTTGTAAGCAGTCCACCATACATTTGTGAATTTTTTCTCAAAATCAACTTAATATAAAATGCCTCCCAAATCCTAATTAAATATTATCTTGCTACTAGGGACGTTTGGTTTCAGCAGTGGTAAGGACCACATCAGCCCCGAACCCCTGTTCCTGTAAACACACACAGTACTCCTACAGTTTGGTCCAGATCTCTGCCCTTGTTCAGATAATTTTGAACCAGACCCGTGTTTGACCAAATGGCCACTATTCTGCTGATACACACAGCTGAAATGCGTTCCGCGCCGTTGGTATTGCAAACCCGAAAGTTTACCGAGCTAAAACGAGTTTTTCCTCTTCTAAATCCTCTTCCCACAGTCCCTGCCCTCTGATTGGTTTGTTAGCTGTCTGCGCTCTCTCTTCCCACAGTCCCTGCCCTCTGATTGGTTTGTTAGCTGTCTGCGCTCTCTCTTCCCACAGTCCCTGCCCTCTGATTGGTTTGTTAGCTGTCTGCGCTCCCTCTTCCCACAGTCCCTGCCCTCTCATGGTTTGATGGCTCCGCCATCCTGTACTCAAACTGGCACTTCAAAGCCCCCAGTGTCGAGCAGCTCTCCTCTGACACTTGCGTCTCCATGAGGGCGTCCGACAGCGTCTGGCATCTGTCCCACTGCGGTGACAAGCTGGGCTTCGTCTGCAAAATCACGGCAGGTACGCCTTGCCGCTACGCATTGCACTTACAATTAGCAGATGCTTTTATCCTACGTGACAAACCGCACGTGAAAGCAGGGGGCAGACAGTCCCTGGAGCAATTGGGGGTGAAGGGTCTTGATCAAGTGACCTTTCACCCTTACAAATACAGTGGTGACCAAAAGTTTTGAGAATGACATAAGTATTGGTTTTTCACAAAGTTTGCTGCTTCAGTGTGTGTAGATCTTTTAGTCATGTTGCTATGGTATATTAAAGTATAATTACAACCAAGTGTCAAAGGCTTTTATTGACAGTTACTTTAAGTTTATATAAAGAGTCGATATTTGCAGTGTTGGCCCTTCTTCAAGACCTCTACAATTCGCCCTGCCATGCTGTCAATGAACTTCTGGGCCAAATCCTGACTGATGGCAGCCCATTCTTGCATAATCAATGCTTGGAGTTTGTCAGAATTTGTGGGTTTTTGTTTGTCCACCCGCCTCTTGAGGATTGACCACAAGTTCCCAATGGGATTAAGGTCTGGGGAGTTTCCTGGCCAGGGACCCAGAATGTCGATGTTCTGTTCCCCGAGCCGCTTAGTTATCACTTTTGCCTTATGGCACGGAGCTCCATCATGCTGGATAAGGCATTGTTGGTCATCAAACTCTTCTTGGATGGTTGGGAGAAGTTGCTGTTGGAGGATGTTATGGTACCATTCTTTATTCATGGCAAAATTGTGAGCGAGCAACCCCACACATAAATGGTCTCAGGATGCTTCACTGTTGGCATGACACAGGACTGATGGTAGCGCTCACCTTTTCTACTCCGGACAATCTTTTTTCCGGATGCCCCAAACAATCGGAAAGGTTCATCTGAGAAAATGACTTTACCCCAATCCTCAGCAGTCCAAGCCCTGTACCTTTTGCAGAATATCAGCCTGTCCCTGATGTTTTTCTTGGAGAGAAGTGGCTTCTTTGCTGCTCTTCTTGACACCAGGCCATCCCCCAAAAGCCTTCGCCTCACTGTGCATGCAGATGCACTCACACCTGCCTGCTGCCCTTCCTGAGCGAGCTCTGCCCTGGTGGTGCCCTGATCCCGCAGCTGAATCAAGTTTAGGAGAAGGTCCTGGCGCTTGCTGGACTTTCTTTGACGCCCTGAAGCCTGCTTCAAAAAATTGAACCACACTCCTTGAAGTTCTTGATGATCCGATAAATGGTTGATTTAGGTACAGTCTTACTAGCAGCAATTTCCTTGCCTGTGAAGCCCTTTTTGTGCAAAGCAGTGATGACAGCACGTGTTTCCTTGCAGGTAACCATGGTTAACAGAAGAAGAACAATAATTTTAAGCATCACCCTCCTTTTAAATCATCCAGTGTACTATTCTAACTCAATCAGCATAACAGGCTGATCTCCTGCCTTGTCCTCATCAACACTCACCTGTGTTAACGAGAGAATCACTGAAATGATGTCAGCAGGTCCTTTTGTGGCAGGGCTGAAATGCAGTGGAAATGGGTTTTTTGGCATTAAGTTTATTTTCATGGTAAAGAGGGACAACATTCTGCAGTATATGCAAATTGGCACCATAGAAACTGAGGCAGCAGACTTGAAAACCAATACGTGTCATTCTCAAAACTTCTGGCCGTGACTGTACAGGATCTTAACACAGAGCCACATGTCGCCCCACAAAATATTACTGTTTCTTGATGGTTGGGGCAGCCAAATATGAACTTGAGGTAGTAAGACTTTTTTCCACTGGCATACAGGAACCGAGCCGTACCTGAGCCATGCCACGAAGGGAGCACGGTTCCAGCTCGCTTTGGTTTTCCACTGCTGAAGGGTTGCCAGGTTTGGAGGCAACAGTAACGAAAAAACCAAAGAGACGCTTATTTACTGATCACACGGTGGACATCATGATTTGCTATGTGCTAAATTCTGCTAGCACATCTGTGAGAACCGCCATGTTATGTTAGCATCAAATGCTAGCGGAAATCGCATTCGCTTGTGTACATTTGCATAATGAATCCATTCCATTCAGCTGTTCTATAGTACATTTTTAAGTAGGAGATTGGAAATTTTCAGGTTTCAAGTTATTGGGAATGCATTAATACATCGCGATGGGCAATACTACTAATAATTAATATAGAATATAAAGAATATGTAGAATATATTGTTTTTTCCTTCAGATAATTCATGCATATCAACACAGATCACTGGTATCTCCGTGCAGCTCAGCTTTATCACGCTTTCGACCCTATTAGTAAGTAGGGCCACGTCAGCATGGGTACCACTTGGGTTCTGCTCTCATACTTCGCAATGGAAAACCATCAGTTTGTGGTACATGTCAGGTACAGCTGGGTTCCAGGTAACAGTGGAATGGTGCCATAAGTGTAGTGTAGCTAAATGTTAGCATAACATAGGAAGCTGTGCAGATTATTTTATTTACTTGTTTCAGATGCAGTTAATGAAGTAGAAGTTGAACCGCTTAATGGTAAGAGATGTGAGACATTTATTTATTTGATCATTTGGTTCTTAGAAATGTATTTTAATGAAAAGTGGTGTCTTGTGGACACTTGCATTTATTGCCTTTTTTGGCTTTGAATTCCTCCTTCCCTTCTTCATAATGCTCTTTTACTAACATTCACTTAGTTATAGGAATAAAATCATTAGAACTTTTCCTAAACAGCAGATTGTTGTTTGTTTTTTTTTTTTGTTCTTTTTAATTTCAGTAGTGGGACGTTCATTAACGTGACCCTGCCCCATCTTCTCCGTTCCAGGGCTGCACCATGGTGTTATTCCTGCCGCCGCCCTGGTGGCCATCTTGATATTTGCCCTCCTTGTTGTATCGCTGTGGTGCGTGTACAAGAGGAATGGGGCACGCTTCCGCAGATTCCCATTCCTCGGGAGCGCATATTACCGGCAAGCCAGCTCGCAGGCCGTGGACTCTGACGTGCTCATAACAGACCTTGAAGGCAACCCCAGCGAATAGGGGTTCATCTCAGAGAGCCCTGTACCCGGCATGAGGGGAGCACAAGGGACTTCAAAACCCCCCAGAGGGGATTAATACTCAGCTGAAGGATGTATTAACAAGTTGTTTACTTGCATATTTGCGCATACAGAAATGGGGAAGGGACTGCCGCGTGTGGAATTTCCGTTTATTTTATTACGTGTTTCGTTGTCGATTTCTGGTAACAATGTTTTAATGCCAAGAATATGATTATGCCTAGAATATATATTACCGGAGAGCTTGGCATCAGGATAAAGGTGTGTGTGTGTGGTGCGCATGCACCTGTATCTTTTCGCTCTTGTTTGCTTAACTGTCATTACGGTCTCGTCAAACACAAACATGGATAAATACATCTGCATAATCGCAGTGAACCCCAGTCCGCGGAGTGAGTGCTGAGTTGGAGTCCTGTCGACTCAGGTTAGCCTCCACAGGCACGTCTCATTCTGACTGTGGGAGCTTGTGATTTAGACAGAAATTTCCTAAAAAAGATACAGACGTGTGGTGTTTTTTAATGCAGGACATTATTGGTAAAGAATACCAGGCAGTTTTGTTTAATTGGTAAATATCCTATAATATGCAAAGAATGTAAAAACAACAAAAGGTAGACTAGGTTGAATTTTATTTTAATACTGTGTTTGTTGTGCATATATTAAGGTACGTTCTAGTTTTTAAATATGTACAGAGAACTATAATTACGTTAATGTATCCTTTTGTTGCACACGTCATAGTTTACATCCTTGTATTTAAAACAATGCAATTATTAATTGAACATTGAACACTGCTTAAACTGAAACTTGATCCATTTGGTTGGTTCTAAAGGAATTTGTGTGTATTTGGCAGCAACTAAAACATTTATTTTTTACTTTTTACAGACGTTATTTGTTGTTATCAATTATACGTTTCCATTGAAATATTTATATTTGTGTTTTCCCACACGGTATGCTCAAAGTTTACTAAATAAAAGGTGTATCCCTCGGGGACTGGAGTCTGTGACAAAACGTAAGCATTCGCGAAATATTTTACCAGTTGTCAACATAGATTTTTAATTGTTGTGTTTCAGATTTAACTGTAGTTAAAGTGTGTGTGTGTGTGTGTGTGTGTGTGTGTGTGTGTGTGTGTGTGTGTGTGTGTATGTAAAGTTAAAAAAAATTAGAAAAATCTCGCTGTTGCTGCATAATTTCAGTAGCAAGACAATAATACATTGTGATCGTGGGGATTTTTATTATTATTACCGTGAATGACGTGTCACTTCCATATAGTTAGCGGTGAGTGCGGTTTCCAGTATGAAGATCCCCCCCTGTCCGGCCTGTCCTGTTAAATTAATTGTTAGCTGCTCACTTCTGGCCGTACGCTTGACGCATACGTTTAGGGTGACATATTGTTGTGACGTAGATCTCCGGCAAGAGATAAAAGCAAAAGTGAAATGACAACCGCTTTTAGTTTTTTTATGATGAGAGGAACCTCATAACCATGCATGCCACACTGGAAGCTGCGATGTACCAATATTTAATCCTTCTTGTTGGATACAGCTTTATTTATTGCGGGACAATAGCACAACACGTGTACTCAGGTAAGAAAAAAAATTGTAATAAAAGAACAGATTTTTGTTTACTGTCACAATGTAATTACCTTACTGTAACAAAAATGACTCAAGCATATATTTGGATATTACTGTAAGCATTGTTATCTGTTCGGTGTAATTTAACGGCTAGAAGATCTTTGATTGTCCTATTAAAATCTTAATTTTATAGAATAGGTAAGCATAACGCGGGAAGTTAGCTATTTGTGTGAACCTAAATTTAAAAAATAGCCTATATAAAAACGAGTAGGCTAAAGTGAAGCGGTGTTGTGTCGATATATGCTGCCTTGTCGAAAAATGCTACCGTAGTGCTAATAGATAGCCCTAACCCTAACTCTTACCCTAACCCTAACCCCCTAAAACCCTTACCTTAACCTTAACCCTAACCCCTAAAACCTAACCCTCATCCCAAAACGGTGGAACTGCACATGCGCAGAAAGGCTCGATAGCACGTCTCGATAGGTAGTATTTTTCGACAGAACAACGGCAATTAAGGGGGTAAATTGAAGAAATGAAAGTGAAAGTAAAATTCCGGGGGACTTTCCGGCTGTACCTCGGCAGTCAGCTGACTTTTCGTTTGAAATGCAGTATCAGCTCGGTGATTCAGTCGATTCACGTAAAACGCACGATTAATTAATGAAAGGAAGCTTGAAAACATAGATTGTACCAGTGTGTCTTTAAGATAAGGCTTTCGCGCAGGGGACGATTCCTTCAGCATCCGCCACGTGAGCACGAGCAGGTGCCTCCAGGGCGAGGACCGGCGCGTGGGCGTGGCACGCTGCACCAGCTTTGACCAGCAGCGCTGGAAGTGGGGCTCGGGCCACCGGCTCTTCCACGTGGCCACGGGCCGCTGCCTGGGCCTTGAGGCGGACTCCAAGACCCTGGCGCTGCTCAGCTGTGACTCTGCAGGGGACATGCTCTGGTGGCGCTGCAGCGGAGGCATCATCCACACCGCGTCCCAGTTGTCCCTGTCCGTGATCAATGACGCTGTTGCTGTCAAAAAGGGGTTTGGCGACCAGTGGATGAGAGACAACACGTCAGAAAACATTTGCCAGAGACCGTATCAGGGTAAGGTTGCGAGAACCTCACTCTCCACCTTCAGTGGTCCATCACCAAGTAAGATTAGCTTTGCAATGTCCATCCATCTATCCATCCATCCAAGTGAGCTTGGAGCCTGTCCTAGACAACAGAGTACAGGGCAGGGCTACACCTTAACTATAGCTACAGTGTGTTCAACAGAAAATACAGTTGGAAATAGTTTGCATTTATTTCAGTTGTCAAATCTGTGTAATAAATGTTCCCACAAAGAATTCAAGGATATAGATGATTCATGGTTCTGTTTTATGTTGTAGAGGAACAACAGCAGGTTAAAATTAAACATAGAGTTTCCCATCTTCTCGTAGGTTTCATGTCACCCTCCGTGTTTGATTAATTCAGTTTCTATTAATGCCTGGCTGTTAGTGACAGTATTTGGGAATGCCCTGCTTTGGACATGTGTCTATAGCCCCAGACCACCTTGCTTAAACAGCTGAAATGGCAGTTTAACCGCAAAGAGAAATCCCACGTTGTTCCGCAAGTCGGGGGATTTTTGTGTACAGTGTTTCGTTTCACTTTCTTTGCGTGTGACCTTCTTGGATTTTAGGGGGAATTCTGTATGATAATGAGAATAGTTTCATGCTTCACAGCTCAGGATTTGGTGTGATAAAACGGTAGTAAATAGATACCAATGATTTTTTTTTATCCCTTTGATGGGCTGGCAACCCATCCAGAATGATGTCCTCTGGCTTGTGCTAATAAGGGATAAGCTCTCTGTGATGCTGAATTGAAAATATGGATGGATGGACTATTTTTTTTACAAGAATCTGATATCACCTGTATTTGTATCAAACAGATGTACATATGTTTTTTTAAAATTTGTCAAGCATCACTACATGTAGAATTTAAATGTCCCCTGGGTATTTTTGAAAAAACAAACCGTTAAATATGGTCAAAGAGATTGTTTTGGAAAAAAATCATTTTGTTTCCTGGGAAACAACAGCACAAATCTTTAAATAACCATGGGAACTGTTTATAGGCCTTTGTTTACTTGATGAAACTGCCTGAACGCAAGACCTGAACTGCCCTTAGAAGTGTTCAGAGATGAATTAAGTTTAAATTTTAATTCTATTTTAAATTTTAAGTAAATTAACGTGGTAAAAATAAGCACGTTCTCTATAAAAGAAGCCTTTACTAACGGAACTAGATTTAACTTCAGTTGGATTGTTCTCATTTCCCCTATACTGTATGTTTTTTTTTTTATCTCACTGCATTTGCACGTCATTTGCACGATCAGTCTTGTACAGCACCATGGGAAACTCCTTCGGGGCAGCCTGCGAATTTCCCTTCTACTACAATGGCGGCTGGCATCATGACTGCCTGTCACATGGCCAGGAGGAAGACCTCAGCTGGTGCCCCACCACTGGCAACTACCACGCCGACCAGAAGTGGGGCTACTGTCTAAGTCCTGGTGAGCGTCGTCCCTCTCACTGTTTGTCTGCAATGTAACGCTTTCAGGATGGGGCGTCTGCTGGAGGTTTTATTTACTTTTGTCTAGGCCAAAATATGCCTTCTGCACACATATATATATATATATATATATACGCACACGCACACACACATAATTTTCACAGATAATTACTGTATAACAGACACAACATTTTAAGCAGTGCCAGTTCATTCATTTACAACAGTAAATATTACATACAGAAAGACTTAGATTTAGTTTTGTATGTTACAAGGAGAAAATATATTTTTTCAGAAACAGGTGTGCACATTTATTAGGCAACTGAGAAATACAATACAATTTTAGATAATTTTATGAACAAAGAACAAAAAACATTTTGACATAATTCTAAATAATAATTATGGTTTTAGTAATGAATTCAGAAGCTTAACAAAGGAAGTTTTACCATTGGAAATACTTTTATGTATTCTCATAGAAAAAAATTGAGACCACTATATTTTTAAACAAATCTGCATTGTTAAATCCCGGTTTAAACCTGGTTCTGCTGGCAGAGGCTACACTGAGCGTCAGGCTGCTTCCAGGCTCAGAGTTTCTAAGCCAGCAGTACACAAGAACAAGGCGAAGCAGGAGACACTGGGAATGACCAAAAACCAGCCAGGTAGAGAGTGGAAGTGACTTTCTAATGGCAGAGATGACCGTTAACTTATCCAACAGCTTCTCATGAATCATAGGACGACATCAATTGACCTTCAAAAGGAATGGGAAACATTAAGTGCAGGTGTGAAGTGCACTGCTAGGACAGTTCATATCAGGCTCTTAGAAGCAGGACTGAAGTCCCATAAAGCCAGGAAGAAGCCCTTCATTAATGAGAAACAGAGAAGAACCAGGCTGCAATTTGAAAAAAATTGTATATTACTCACAGACATACACCCATAAACTGAGAAATGAGTGAAACAAAAAATGTGGTCTCAATTGCCTTTGTCTGCTTCCGGGCTACAGTAGTGTCCTGTCTTCCCCTGTCTGGTCCACTGTGTGTTCTGTTGTCCCCTGTCTGGTCCACTGTGTGTTCTGTTGTCCCCTGTCTGGTCCACTGTGTGTTCTGTTGTCCCCTGTCTGGTCCACTGTGTTTTCTGTTGTCCCCTGTCTGGTCCACTGTGTGTTNTCCACTGTGTGTTCTGTTGTCCCCTGTCTGGTCCACTGTGTTTTCTGTTGTCCCCTGTCTGGTCCACTGTGTGTTCTGTTGTCCCCTGTCTGGTCTTGATTTCCATCCCTTTTCAGCTCTATTGTTTGGTGTCTTTGGTCCCCTTTGAGTGAATCACTACCACTTTGGAATGGCCCAAACATTTAAAGTCCCTATTTTTACTTGTGGGGAAACCCCTGGAAGCGTGCTTTCAGAAGTGTGCTTTCAGAAGTGTGGGTTCAGATCTGGAGACGGAGATGGTCATTGCAAAACAGTGATTTTGTGCTCTTGCAACCATTTCTGTGTTGATTTATATGTGTGCTTGGAGACATTATCTTGCTGAAAGGTCCATTCACAGCCAAGTTTCAACTTTCTGGCACAGGCTTCTAGATTTCTGACTAAAATGTCCTGGTTTATCATGGAATTCATGGCGCCATTCATGTTCAAAAGAGCCACTGGACCATTTGCAGTAAATCAGCCACAAAGTATCAATGATCCTCCACTGTATCTGACAGTGGGAGCCAGGTACTTTTCTTTGTATGCGCTGCCCTTTGTTCACCAAACATGTCAGTGGTGTGCAGGATCAAGAAGTTCAACCATTGTCTCATCTGATCACGACACATAATTGTGATTGTAATTCCAGTGATATTTAACCAACTGCATGTGAAGCATTTAGTGGTATTGTGTCAGGAACAACCTCTTTCGAGAAACTCTTCCAAAAAGCTGGTGATCCTGGTGGCATCGGTCAATTGATTTTAAAGAAATCGATTTCAGAAACTGTGATTTTTCTGATCTGCTCTCACCTCCCGGCACATCCACATTGTGCCCGACGTGGGGGCAGTATATCGAAGTATCCAATTCTTGATAAATTTTCCACTATTCAACCCTAATTAAAATCTTCAGTAATTGCCCTGATTATGCTCAATGATATTTTTAAACATCTTTCTATATTCTTTAGCTAATTTGTACTGGTTAGCAGCCTTTGATCTTATTTCAGGTGAATGCTCTTTGGATTTCCCCGTGTTGACAAAGGGCTTTTGTTTGTGTGTGATGTTATGTACGTACCACAGAGAATCAGGAAATGGTCATAGGCAGCTTGTGATTTCCGATGCAATAGCAGCAGGATAAAAACATATTTTTTCACCAACGATGCAAATATTCTTTCGTGTTATTTGTCATTTTTCAGTGGTGCCAACAATTTTACTCCACGTGATCTTAAAAGACTTCTCAATTGTGAATATAATGTAATGTTCATGAAGGGATTATTTTTATTAGGTAAATGGTAAGCAATTTTCTGACACATTTTGAAAGTAGTTTTGATTCTTCTGTAGACTACATTGTTTATTTTATATTACCCTCTTTCATTGAGGATGCCAAATATTCTGAAGCTGATTCTATTAACATATGAAATAACTGGAATTTTGCTGGAATTCCCATTTAGTAAACGGAAAAGTCAGAGCCATCTTGCTGGATCGCATATTTTGTGTTCCTCTGTACTTGTCTGTTGGTACTTACTGGCCTTCAACTTTTCATTCCTTCTAGAACAATCCTGTGACGTCCTATGGGAGAACCCCGGTTCCGGAACTTGCTACCAGTACAACCTGCAGGCAGCCCTGTCCTGGCGCGAGGCGTGGACTTCCTGTCGCCGCCAAGGCGGGGACCTGCTTAGCGTCTCCGGCCCCAAGGAACTCGCCTCCGTGTCCGGTGAGAGACACTCTGCTGCTTTCCACTCTCAGTCTCCAAGAAGAGATCGAGGAAGAGATTCACACATTCAGTCATGGAAATGCACGAATGAAAGCAGAGGGCAGAAGTCCAGCAGCAGCCTGGTGTGTGGCTTGGCGGGTTAGAATGTTCTGCTTGTGATTGAAAGGAACCCGGTTCAACTCCCAGTGTTGGAAGAGTGATATCACCGTTTAGTCCTTCAGCAGAACCCGAACCCCCAATTGTTCCAGGGAGTGACTGACTGTTTCCTTAATTATATATCACTTTGGATAAAATTGCTAAATAAATGAACCAAGTGGGTGCTCTCTCTGCTATGGGGCTGATTGTTGCCTTGTAGTTTAAGGCACCTGAGCAAGCTCTGAACATCAGCTTGGTCAGCTGACTGGTTTGTACATCTTATTTGTCCTATCAGCTCCAGCCAATGTTAGTTTGCCTGAGCAGATGTGGACTGGACTGAATCAGCTGGACATGTCTCAAGGCTGGCAGTGGTCAGACAGCACCCCGCTCAATTTCGTCAAATGGGATGATGGTAAAAATGAGCTTTTAACTTGTCTTTTCCTCACAGATGTCCCTTAAACACCAGCATAGGCACGTTGAAACATTGTAGTGTGCATTTTAAGGTTATTATGGAGTACTTCTGCATTTGTAAACACATTTGCATTTAATTTCCACTCTCAAGATTTGATGCTTCTGTATAATATGTTATGGGCTATGTGATTGGCTGTGTAATATGCTATGAGCTGTTTGATTGGCTGTGTAATATGCTATTGGAGAGCATTATTTAATATGTGCTGTCGGCCTGTCGTGTACACTTTCACAGGGATGCCACTTACCTCCATCTTGCGGGAGGCAGATTGCGCAGTGATGACCCCCCGGGGGTTCTGGAGGAGCGAGGCATGTAGCATGAGGCTGCCCTACATCTGCAAAAAACCCCTCAAACGCACTCAGCCTGAACCAGCGGGTGAGAGCTGCAGGCCGTCATGCTGTTAGGGGCGGGATTTATTTGTTTAGCTAGTTTCCTTTAATTGATTGGATGGGGAATGGTGGGCGGTGCTTAATATACCTGGACCTTTGCATCAGCGCCACCATTGGACAAGACCACCTCCTGTGAGCCAAACTGGAAACCTTGGGACGACTTCTGCATCAACCTGGTGAAGGAGGAGCCCCAGACCATGACCGAGGCCCAGCAGTACTGCGAGAGGAGCGGGGCGGACCTCCTGAGCCTACACAGCCTCAGCGATGTGGAGGCACTCAGCACGGAGCTCCACACAGGTGTCACACCCCCACCCCCCATCCCAACACAAGACACTCCTACTGCATGTCTTTGAGAAGATTCGCAATCATTTATGGAGGCCGTCTACTTTGTTGTGATTGGCCGAAAAAAATAACATAAATCTTATCAAACCAATCGGAAGCTTGGAGACCCACACCCAAGGGGGGTCATTCTGGGGAAATGCTGTCTGCATGGTCACTGGTCGTGAACATCAAATAGGCAACACCTGATCATAAAAAAACAGTCATTATGGGACCCCGAATGCAGACATGGAAGGATATGAAGACCTACCAAATCTATCAGTTTGCAGATGAGATGCTTTACTTAGTGTTGCAGCTAGAAATTGGTGAAAACTACCAAAATATTGTGTTTTTCCTGTAGACAGTACCTAGATATTCACATTAAATAGATTGCCATAGTAACACGATAAAATCACAGCTAACCTGATGTTTAGCATTGATAGGTCTATTTTAGGGGGTTTTTTCCAGCCCCCCCAAATAAATGTGTGCTTAAGTTATGAATAGTTTTTTTATATGTCAGTTTGCCATCACCCCCCCTCCCCCCAGTAAAGACTCAGGCGCCCAATCCATTGATCTCAAACTATGCCCCTGCGTGTTCATGTACCAGTGAATCTGTAGACCAGGCCAGAGTGAGTAATGCATTTGGTTATGGTCTCCTCAGGTGGTGTGTTTGAGGTGTGGACCGGCCTAAGGAGTGAAGCAAGCCCGTACCTTTTCAGCTGGACCGACAGATCTCCAGTGTCTTTCACATACTGGAGCAGGGATCAGCCCCAGTTCCGCGATGAAAGCAAACCCGCCTGTGTCTCCTACTTTGAAGAGGTACTTTATGTCAGAAGGTTTGAACTTTGATAAAGACCTTGGTGAAAGTGGCAGGGTAGCCCCACAGGAAGCTCTGTAGGCTCCAGACTGGGTTGCATGCTCTTCTCCAGGTATTCCAGTTTCCTCCATGCATCTATGTGAATTGGTGCCTTTGAATTGCCTGTTGTGTGTGAGTGTGTGTCGCCTGATTATCCGGACTGTCTTCTGCGTTGTACCTGTACTCCTAAGGATAGACTCTAGGCATAAAGCATCCCTATACTGGATGACTGGTTACGGATTCATGGACGAATCAGAACTAAAAAGAATAAAAGATCTGCAAAACTGACGTGTATCATTTCTGAAATGATTGGGACGGTTGTGTTCTAGCAAAAAATGTACCACCATTTTGGCAAATATCATGCAATATAATGTAGTATATTGGAGTTTTCTTTTTCTGTTTACGGCACAGTCTCACTTGTGGCAAGTGACTCAATGTGACGTTAAACTGCCCTTTGTGTGCAAGAAGAAAGGGGAAATAAAGGAATCTACTGAAAAAGCAGGGTGTCCTGATGATGGCGTGAGTACTACAATTACAATTTGTACAAAGCTACTGTCAACTTCCCTTGTTCCAAATGTGTATCCATTGTTGTGTTCACACCTCATAGGCGGGCAACTCATACCGTCTCTTATCTCCTAGGAATGGAAGAGACACGGTAATGCGTGTTACAAGGTGGACACCAATGACGTTTTGTTCAAGGACAGGTGTGACCTGACCATTACGAACAGGTAATGAAACACTGTAATAAAATCATGAACGCCAGGAAGCTTTTTCCATAAGGGTACCTTTCTGTTAAACCAGTCTTCATTGTGTCTTTCACAGGTTTGAGCAGATGTTCATCAACACCCTTATCAAAGAGCATGTAACTCCTGAATCAAAATACTTTTGGACTGGGCTTCAAAATGTTAATGACACTGGAGAATTCCAGTGGATTACCAAAAATGGCCGTCATAAAGATATGACCTACAGCAACTGGAATGCATTTGAGCCAGGTACACAGTGTGTGAGAAAATCAGTGGGATATTACTTTCTGGTAACTGGTGAAACAGTAGCCCAGTAGGCGGCACTGTGTCACTGTAGGTTGTGGGTTCAATTCTTAACCCTGGCTCTCTGTGTGTGGAGTCACCATGTTCTCCTCTGGTTTGTGTGGGTTTCTTCTGGGTACTCAGACTCCCTTCCGCAGTCCAGTGGTATGCAGTTAGGTTAGGTGCCCATACTGTGTGCCAAAGCATGTACTGAGATGGATTGGCATCACATTCAGCATTTCCACTGCATACATGGTTATGGATGGATGGATGTGTTTATTGTGCCTGTCTGTCATGGGTTGTTTTTGAAATTAGATATTGACCTAATTTCACTGGGAATATCTGGGAATTGGTTGGCAATTTGAGCAGCACTTTAGGGGAAGCATTAGCTTGACTGTTGTAATTAGGGCTACTTTGTTAAAGACAATTAACATTGATTTCAAGGTTCCCATTACAGCTCTAGCCAGCGGGTGTGTCGCCATATCCACCAAAGCACTGGGTAAGTGGGAGGTGAAGGACTGTAACCTGTTCAAAGCTGGCTCAGTGTGCAAGAAGGACATCGGCCATCAGGAGGAACCAGAGCCAGACCTTAGTCTCCCCTGCCCTTCCGGGTGGACTTCCAGGCCTTATTTTCAATACTGCTACAAGGTGAGAAGAACAAACAGCTTCTGAGAACCAGAGGTGGGCAGTAGAGAGGAGGGTCTGTTAGGATGAACACGCAGCAATACTGTATTCCAGTAACTTGAGGGTGCTCTGCTGCCATCTGCTGGTAGGTTATCTTCTGTGATGTTACTTGACAGGTGTTCAATAAAGAGAGGCTGACTCGCAAGCGGTCCTGGGAGGAGGCCGAGCGCTTCTGCAAGGCCCTGGGAGCTCACTTGGTTAGCTTCAGCCACCTGCATGAGATGAGGACTATTCAAGCCATCATGAAAGACTCCATCAGGTCTCACCCTTGTTTCACTTGTTTACTGCCTGTAGCAAGGTGACAGTCATGGGTCAATGACATCACACTTACTGAAATCATCCCTGCATGCTAGCCAGTCCCAATAACTGGAACTAAAACACCGCCTTAATTGTTAGAACAAGTTTGGACTAGTCTGACGATCTTAGTCACATGCAGAGAAAAAGGAAAATGCTGTAGAGTCTCTTGCTCTTTAACGTCCTGGTCCCTGGCTGGCATTAAACCACAGAGGTGGTCTGGTGACATTTACTTATTGCCTAAGAAGCAGCTTTGCAGAAGGACTGGGATGGGTAGAGAAATGGTCTGTGTGGTAGTAACTTGTGGTAGTTGCTCAGCTGCTGACTCTAATGTGCGTTTGAACTGCCATTTAAGGCACTTCCTCATTGCCCTTTTCTGCTTCTCCAAAGCAGCTTCACAATGCCGCTGGTTTATGAGGCAATGCTATGACTGTCCCAGTTTGTTACCCATCCTGTATGGCAGTAGTGTCACCCTACCGAGCAGGCCTTAGCATCCAGCCCCTCTGTTAGCACATGGCTAACTCTGTGCTGTCTTAGCTTAGCGCCCAACAGTGTCTAGAGATTACCCTCTAAAGTCTAAAAGGAGTCTGGGTATATTTTTAAACAGCATGAACTCTGACCTTTTCACTATTGATCTTTTGCTTGTCATTTGCAAGATGGCGATTTGACGGGCGATTGTTTTGACCTTTCCCTCCCTCCAGCCAAGATCAGGACCGCTATTTCTGGAGCGGGCTAAACAGGCGAAGTGCCACGTCCGAAAATTCATGGGAGTGGAGCAATGGAAAACCAGTAAGTGGAGGATAACCTGGAGAGTGATGACAGCCGAAAGGGAATATATCATAAAGCTCATGCATCATCTGTCACCATTTATCCGAAAAGGATAAAGGTTATGACGTGGCCAAAGATGTTTGGCTTTGAACTCCAGCAATGTCTGGCTAATTCTTAACAATTGTCCGGAAATGTTCATTCGCTATTCTGCAGTTGGTACATTTTATTTACTTCTATTCGAAAGTATTTTTGGATTGACTGGAAAGTAAGAATTATGGACATCTCAGGAGACCGATACAGCATTTATTGAGGAATTCCAGCTGATGTGGTTATTTCTGTGTTTTAGGTTTCGATTTTCTCCGAAGAGCTTCAGGAGGATGATGAGTTCAACAGGGATTGTGCAGCTTTCAAGGTATACTGCCGTGGTTTGTGTGTACAAATATACATATAATAAATACGTATATAGACTTTGAGGAAAAATCCCCCATGTTAGCAACAGTAGCAATGGGACTTGCTTGAGAGTGCATTTCGCACCTGGTTTGACGAGAACGTGCAAAGGAAGAGGTCTCCCCATCCTGTTTTCGTTGAACAACGTTGCAAAGGGCTTCCTCATAAGGCTATTTTTGCGTCTTGACATGCTAAGCCAAGAAGCTAATTGAGCAGCGACGCCTGCATCGTCTATCACATAACACATCCTGCTCCGTATTGCGTGGTTTACTGTGTCGCGTCGATTTCGATTTTTTTGCATGTCCTAATACATCTCGCGAGATGGAAACTTTCTTCCTCTTGACGTGTAAGTCACTGGGTTTCTCCCCGTGTGCCGAAACAGATCCGCAGGAGGCAGTCCCTCGATCCCGAGCTTTACCGATATCACTGGATGTTCAACTACGACCACTACCCGGAAAAGCCAGCCTACCTAACCCCATTTCACTGTGATGCTCAGCTGGAATGGGTCTGCCAGATCCCCAGAGGTAAACCTTACATCTGCCAGTGGAGTATGTTTATAAACCTGGGATCCAGAGCAATTAGCATTTAGAAATATCTATTTGGTAAATTCTGATTGACTGAATGTGACCTAGAGAACTGGTATCAAATTATATATGATGTGGTCGGATCTATATCAGTGACTTCATTGTGTTTTCCTTGATATCCTAAAAAAAAATGTAAAGGAGTTTTTTTTTTTATATATGTTCTTTTTGCATCTTTGTACTCCAGGCAAGATCGAGACAATTCCTGAATGGTATAACCCAAGTGAGTGACCATGCAATTCTGTTATATGTCATTTACTTAGCTTGATTTATTATAGCAGCACAGAAAACACTACTATTTAGCTAAACATAGTTTTTCTTTTATACACCTAAATTTTTTTTTTGCTAAGGTGTTTGAAAGCTGGACTTAGACACACTACGTTTTGTGCTCTTGGTAAGGCAGCAAATTTAGAAATCTGTGCCAAGATTTTTCAAAGCAGCCCTCCCTCGATCCCGCTACACAGGCACAGGAGGCCATCACGAGACGTCAATATTCGTGGGTGGGAGAGAATTCTGGTTCGTGAACGACGTGAAGCTCACCTACGAGGAGGCTGGCGAGTACTGCTGGAACAATGGGAGCAAGCTGGCCATTCCCACGTCGTACGACATAATGAGGCAGATTGCGAAGAAAATCTCTGAGGTACAGCCTTTCAAGAAAAGTCTCTTGTGTGACTCAACTGATTTGGCCTCTGTGCCTCTCATCAGAAGGTGACCAGTTCCAAACTAATCTTTGGTAGAAGAATCATGTATTTGATGGACCCTTAACCTCCCAAAATGCTTTAGTGGCACCTGATAAATTGCTGACCATGCACTCAGACCTCAGACTTTGCTCTCGTCTATATGTGTGAGTGTGTGTCTCAGAGGAGAGCATGATGGGATATGTGAAAAGAGCCATTCCAGTGTAGCATTACTTGTGCAAGTGCAGATAAAGCATCATGTCATCTTTGCTGTTGTAGTTTCAGCCATTTCCAATGTTTATGATAAGTATCAGGGATCCCAGAATTATGACCCTTAGAATAATTAAGGCCAAGACTTTAGGATTTAGGCTGGGAGATGTTAACATTCATTCAGTCTGTAAGTAAATGTTCAGTGAAACACTGGATTGAAATAGTCGGAAATGGACGTTTTGGGGCCTCTTTTTCACATTGGCAAACATGTGACTTGTTTCAGATTTCATACGATCGGTGGGTGGACTTATTTTGGTGGGTGGACTTGAAAAGCGGCATGCACGATTTTCCCTCCAGGTCAGTTAGTCTCTTTCTGAATTTGTCTGTATGGTGTTCCGGCGTTTTCCTGGTGTAATACCCCAGGAATGAGAAGAAGGACTGTATATTAAACATGACAGTTCCTATTAATTAAAGATAAAAGATCCTGTTGCCTATTTGAGTCATCATTATGTCTGCATATATTACGTACATGAGACATTCAGACATTCTACACGTGACAAACCTAGAACAACATTGTACAGAGGCTTCCATATGTAATATGAAATCTGCACCTATGTGAAAATGGATCATTTTTTCTCCCAACAGTTTCCATTTCTACCATTATCATGAATCCTATGGAGGCTGCAGTGCTATACATCCATTTAGGCCTCCGGGTAAGTTATCACCCCGAGGTGCCACGCGGTAGCGTGGGGTGTCATAAACTGAGACATGTTGTAATGGAACAGTTGCCAAAAAATCT